ATAATGTCTTGATTACTGCAGCTTTCTAGTAGAGTCTGAAGTCTGGGAGCCTGATTCCTCCAGCTCTGTTTTCTTTCTCAAGATTGCTTTGGCTATTTGGGGTCTTTTGTGCTTCCATACAAATTGTGGAATTTTTTGTTCTAGTTCTGTGAAAAACGCCATTGGTAGTTTGATCAGGATTGCATTGAATCTGTAGATTGCTTTGGGTAGTATAATCATTTTCACAATCTTGATTTTTCCAATCGAAGAACATGGCATATCTCTCCATCTGTTTGTATCATCTTTAATTTCTTTCATCAGTGTCTTATAGTTTTCTGCATACATGACTTTTGTCTCCTTAGGTAGGTTTATTCCTAGGTATTTTATTCTTTTTCTTGCAATGGTAAATGGGATTGTTTCCTTAATTTCTCTTTCAGATTTTTCATCATTAGTGTATAGGAATGCAAGAGATTTCTGTGCATTAATTTTGTATAATGCAACTTTACCAGATTCATTGATTAGCTCTAGTAGTTTTCTGGTGGCATCTCTAGGATTCTCTATGTATAGTATGTCATCTACAAACAATGACAGCTTGACTTCTTCTTTTCCAATTTGGATTCCTTTTATTTCTTGTTCTTCTTTGATTGCTGTGGCTAAAACTTCCAAAACTATGTTGAATAATAGTGGTGAGAGTGACAACCTTGTCTTGTTCCTGATCTTAGAGGAAATGGTTTCTGTTTTTCACCATTGAGAACAATGTTGGCTGTGGGTTTGTCATATATGGCCTTTATTATGTTGAGGTAAATTCCCTCTATGCCTACTTTCTGGAGGGTTTCTATCATAAATGGGTGTTGAATTTTGTCGAAAGCTTTTTCTGCATCTATTGAGATGATCATATGGTTTTTCTCCTTCAATATGTTAAAATGGTGTATCACATTGGTTGATTTGCGGATATTGAAGAATCCTTGCATTCCTGTTCCACATGTAGATGTATTTCTGATGTATTTGTGGGGAGGAAGGTGATCTCCACATCTTACTCCCCCACCATCTTGAAGGTCTCTCTTGGCATCCTTTTGTAACGAGTAAAAAAATCACAAACTTCAGAGTCAGCTGGATCTTTTTTTGACCATATCAGCAAATATTTATGAATCATACAATGCTTCAGATAGTGAGGCACGACTCTGGGCTTTCTTTCTTAGTTCTCATTTCCCAGGAGAAGAGAGAAGAGCTGGGGGTAGGTAGACTTAGAGAGCTAGACCTGAAGAAAGGTGGGTCATATCCAGATATTAGCACTTGCAAATCCTAATGTTAAAACTAACCAGAGAGAAAAGTCAGGCTGTCTCAAAAGAAACAATAATTAGACTAATAACAGACTTTTAATCGCAGCACTAGAGGTTAAGGAATTACTGAGAAAAATTAAATTCCAATTTAGAATTCTATATCCAGCTATGCTAAAATTCACAAGGGAGAAATAAAGAATTTACTACTCTCAGACATACTTGCTGAAAAACTACTGAAGGATTCATTTATTTTATTTACATAAGAAATACTTTTATAAGGCTTAGTATGTGCCTGGCACTATTTTAATCATTATACAAATATTAATTCATTTGATCCTAATAACAACCCCATGAAGTAAATAATACTATCATCTCTCTTTTACAGATGGAGAAATTGAAGCACAGAGAAATTAAGTACTCTGCCCAGGGTCACATAGCTAGAGATCTACAGAGCCAGATATCAAACCCAGGAGGCTGACTGCAGAGCTGGTGCTTTTAACCACGATACAAGCTGCAACTGCTCTGGGAGGCTGAGGAAATGGAACTCAGAAGGAAGGAGGAAATGCAAGAACCAGTGGTAAGAAACTGGTAAATGTCTCAGTTAATCCAAACTTGTGTTGGCTATTTACAACATATAATAATAGTGATAAATCTGGGGTGTGTTAAAAACATGATGAAATTAAAACCATGTATTGATACAACAATAACATGTAACATGAGAGGAGGAGTAGAGTTAGTGTTCTGTTCTATCTTGTTAAGGAGGGGCTTAATTTAACAGTTATGCAAGTTAACATAAAACAAAAGGAGATAAAATGCAAATACTAATCTTGTAGAGGAAAATAAAGGGATAATAAAGAAAACATAATCCAATGGAAAGAATGAAATGAGAGAAAAAGAAACAAAACTCCCAAAATCCCAATCCAACTGATTTTTTCAAAAATTTTAGCAAGCTGATCCTACAATTTATATGAAAGAATAAAGGGTTTTAAATAGCTAAGACAGTTACTATAAGGCTATATTACTCAAAAATGTGTTACTGGCACAGGGATATACAAATAATCTATTGAAAAGAATACCTGTCTGATAGCTTAGAACATGATAGAAGTTGAAATCCATGACTTTGTTCTAAAACATCAGCATAAAAAAATATCAAAACTGTAATGTTTGGTGAATCAAGCAAATTGCAAAAAGATAATATACAAGATGATGTTACCTATGTAAAAATTTAAGATACCATGGACATACAGGTAATAAAAAAACCAAAAACATACAGAGGAACAACACATAGCAACTAAAGCATAATGGTTACCTCTGAGCAGAGTTGAGAGAATAGAGCATGAGGCTTTAGTAGTATCTGTTGCTTTTTTTTTCATACCAAAAAATAAAAAACACCTGAAGCTCTTATGGCAAAAAATTTAATATCTACTTAATCTCAGTTGAGAAAATAGCCATTACATTTTCTGAACTTTTCTGTATGTCTGAAATATTTTGTACTTAAAATATTTTTTAAATCTAAAAACACAGAGAAAGAAAATAAAAGGGAAGAGACAGAGAGGAAAAAGAAAGGAAGAAGGAAAAGAAACTAATATAAAACCTCAGTGTTGTGAGAGTTTTATTAATACCTTCATTCAGTGGTATTTGGCTGCCATCACAGTCCTCAGGGATACCAATCCCCTTTCCCAACGTAGGCCAGTGGTCCCTGGACAGCTCAACTGGCAGTCCTCCTAAAGAGCCCCAAAGCCTTTCTAACCCCCAAATATTTGGCTGTTTAGCGGGGATGCAGAAAAACACATTGCTCTTAGGTGAAGGACTCAGTGGAAATGTTGACCAACTTTCTCTGTTCCCTACCCAGATTTAGAGATGACACTGGGTCACTGACCTTTTCATAACCTCCACTGGTCCAGGTCTTCCCTTTTCATTGCCAGACCCCCAGGCTGTTCTCTAGTTAATTTATGCCTCCTAAAGGGGGTCAAGCTTATTATTGCTTGATCCTTCCTTCTATTGGAGGGATAATGGTCCTGCCTGACTTGGGCCACGTGGGGAAATGATGGGGCATAGAGTTGCCTTCCAAGGCCCCTCACAGCAGCTCTTCCACCTCTGGCCCCAACTTGCCCTGATGCCACTGGGGTCCATCTCTACCCACTACAGACCACACTGTGGTTAGCATAGATCTCCAAGGAGAGCCCTGTACTGGTGGTCGAGACATTTGCTGGAGACTTAGGAGAAGGCTTGGGGCTTCCCACCCCCATGAACCCCCCCAACAGTCCCCCCAGGCACTGTTCTTTTCCTTTTTCTTCTAACCATTCCCTACCATTTCAGACTTGCTTTCCTCTCCTCTAACTGCCCTCTGTAAACCCTGACCCAGCCCCCTTTTTTTAAAGCTATCTCTTCTATAGATACTTACCCTGAAGATGCCTCACCTGGGAATTTCTACAATCCATGGTGCAAAGCTCCCAGCAGCCTGAAGATATGATGGGCAGGGAGACAGTCAGGGCCAGGAGGCTTCCAGCCTAGAAGGGCACTTTGCCAGGTAAGGGGCATCTCTCTCAAAAGGAAGACCTTGTTAATCCTTGGCCCTGGATAACTCATTGGTTATGTCTAACATAAACCTCTTTGAGATGAAATATAAAACAAAAGAAGAGCTACTGCTACCAGATTCTGGTGGAGTCCACCTTATGCAGAGGTGGTCAGTCCAGAGCCTGACACATAACTTCATTAGGGTATACACAGGATTTTTTTTTCCCAAATAGATACACATTTTAATGTATGAGTTTTGACTAAAGTATTTTCACAGCTGATACAGTTTTGGGGGTGTGGATTCTTATGCTGAAGACATGTATTTTTAAATTTACTACACCGATTTAATAATTTGATCATTTATCTCTAAGTCCATTAGTATAATCATCAGGTTCACAGGATTTCTCTCCTGCAGGGATTAACTCATGACAAAACCCATGATCTGACTGTGAACACACGTTCTAAAAAGGCTTCAACATGTTGACCATGAAGTCCTTACCCCACTATCACACAAACAGGGGTTCTCTCCCACATGGATTCTCATTCAACAAATATTTACTAGGTGGTTACTCCTGCCAGGCACTGTGCCAGGAGCTGGGGACACAATGGCGAGCAAAGCACATGCAGCTGCCCTCTCTTGGAGCTGCCAGAATCGTGGTAGAAACAGGATCTCCAGGGAAGGGGGAGATATGCACACACCTACACCTGCACGGTTTTCTCCCACGTGGAGTCAGATGGATGTGAAGGCCTGACTCGCTTCTCACACGCACAGGGTCTCTACCGCGCATGGACTCTCATGTGCATGAAGGTTTGTGCTGTAACGGAAGCCCCAACCACAGACACTGAAAGCAATGGTTTCTCCCCTGCATAGACGCTCTGCAGAGAAGCTCTGTGTTCTAAAGAGACCCTTTACCACACTTGTACATTTGTAACATTGCTCTCCTGTGAGGACTTATGGAACTCAAGGTTAGTGCTCTTTCCAAAGCCCTTACTACACTTAGCACATATAAATGGGTTTTCTCCTGTATTAATTCTTAGATAAACTCGAAGATCTAAGCTCTAACTGAAGAAACCCTTATCACACACCCATCACATTTGCAGTTTCATTCTCTGGAGAACGTGAAGATTCACTGTGATCGAAATCCTTCCCACTCTCCTCACACCTACAGGTTTCTCTCCTGTGTGGACTTTCTGATGAGCACGGAAGCTTGTACTTTAAGGGTTTCACATTGAAATGGTTTCTCTTGTGTGGACCCTCTGATGCTCTTGGAGGTCTACGTTCTGTCTGAAGCTCTCACAACACTCCTCACATCTGTACGGTTTTGCTCCAGTGTGGACTCTCCAGTGGATGCGAAGGTTGGGGCTCTGATGGAAGCCCTTGCCACACTCCTCACACTTAAAAGGTTTCTCTCCTGTGTGGACCCTCTGATGCACGCAAAGATTCGTGTTATAACTGAAGCCTTTGCCGCATGTATCGCACACAAAAGGTTTCTTTCTTGTGTGGACTCTCTGGTGGATGTGAAGGTCTGTGCTCTGACTGAAGCTCTTGCCACACTCGGCACAGTCATAAGGTTTCTTTCCCACTAAGACCAGGTTGCCATAGATCTCCAGCATCACCTCTTTGTACAGGGCCCTTTGTGCAGGGTCCAGCTGCCCCCACTCCTCCTTGGTGAAGTCCACGGCCACATCCTTGAACGTAACAGGTTCCTGGGAACTGGTTATCTCTTCTTCCTCAGCAAGGTCAAGGAGTTAAGGGGGCAAAGCCGAGCCTTGCTGAGGAACGTCCACAGCCCCAGCAGCTCCATAACCACTTCCTCCTCCAGACCCCGGTCTTGGCTAGTAGTTTTGGCAGGAAGCCTCAGGTCACAGGTGTATCCTCTCAAGATGGGGTCCAGCTGCCTGAGGAGTTGCGGTCTTCTTTCCTACCAGCATGGCTTGTTCCTGGCTCAAGCCAGGTCTCGGGTCTCTGGTCTCCCGGCCCGGGGCCAAGCCCGCTGGGGCTGTACTCTGTCCTTATTTTTTAAAAGGGAAAGATTATATAGGAAACGTGTTAAATGTCTGGCATGGTGGCAAACAGTATTTGTTTTAAAAAGGCACATTATTATTGCTATTGCTATTATTCCCGTCATTCCCATGATAGCAAGTTCTTTCTATGTGATTTTTATGTTTTCAAATATCTCATTAAACTTGCAAATGTATATTTAGCTCCATGCAATATTTCCAAGTGCATTTAATGACAGGCTGTGTCATAAGGTAACTCTGCTGTGGTTTTTGTCTTTTAGAAAAATGCAGTTCAGAATCAATGTATCATAGAAATTAAAAGCCCAACTTGAGGTAAAATTGAGTCATAGTCCGTTGCCTTAGGCGAGCAGAACCATCCATCCCCCACAGACAGGTCTACACTTGGTACTGACGGGTCTTACTGAATCTTTACATAATCTAAGTTTTGTTATACTTGAAATGGTTAATTAAAAGAGGTAGGGGAGTCTGAAATGTCACAGCAAGTTCCTCTTGGCCCACTGCCACGTTTCATGAATTCTTGTGCTGAACCCATTTGGATTAAGCAGTGACCCAATCCAAATAAATTGCTTCTGTGCCTCTTATCTCCTATTACCTATTTATGTCCCAATACATCTGCATTGCGTGGCTCAGTAAGATCCATTAAGTCCTTGGGCAGTGTTTACAGCTAATTTTTTTTTTCTTTAAGGCTCAGATTTATCACAATAAAGTGACAATACTGTGCAGACAGTGAGTCAAACCCTTTTTAAAAGAAAGGAAAGAAAAGAAGTATAAGATATGCAATTTCAGTCTGTGAATTCTCAGAGCAACTCTGTGGGTGAGAGACAATCATTTCTTGTAGGTTTTAGGTAAAGATATAATTTACCTTTATTTGCAGACACAAAATTCTGAGAAAACATTACTTGCATCAATTCCTCTGGCTTTAAAAATATTTATGAAATTGAAATAGTTACCTGGAGGAAGACATTTCATTCAGTGTCAAAGGTCAGGCACACTGACTAACACCCCAGATACTACTGATGTACTTTCAAAATTTAAAATAATGTTTATACCATTTATTTATTCATTCACATATAGAGCACCCATCCTGAAGTATCTGGGACACTGAACAAGGTTTACATAAATCTGACTGTTTTTTCCTCTGGGCCATTTGGCTCAGTCTGGTAGACCATAAATATTCAATAATACTTTACAATGACAAAGCATCTTTTATGCAAACATCTCTAAGTACATTATTCACCAATATTACAATCTCCTTTTTAACCTACCGGTAAAGTCACAGAAACTAATTGACTTTCTTCAAGGTCCCATCACAAATTGTTTATTTAATAGAGTCCAGGTGTCCTGAGCCTAGCTATAACTAAAGGGAGAAAAACACAAACACATTTTTTTAGGTGCTTAAGCTGATGACCTACACTAAATATTTCTAAATTGAATCAATTAGGCAAAACGTCCTCCTTAAAGATGTTAAATGTTGTGATGCATCCAATTGAATTTTACAACTTTTCTTCCAATTTGCTCAAGGCCAGTTACCATTTTCAGAGCCCCAAGAATGACCTATTTTAATTGAATCCTATTACAAACACTTAAACTTTCACTCTTTAATCAAATCAGTTTTCTAAATAGAAATTAAAGTTGAAGCAGAAAAATAAAACTTTTCATGGAAAGATCCAGGTGAAGTAATAACATAACTGTACCGAAATATTCAAGCAAAGTCAAAGCTTGGAATTACTGTGAGATTTGGGTAAGTCTAAAAGAGTTCAGGTTACCCAAGAAAAAGGAAATATTTTAAATTCTTTATTTTACCTCTTCTACCAAATGTTACAGTAATGCAGGTTAAATATAAAATATTAATAAAATACCCCCAAAATGGGAAGATTGTTTAAATCACTCACAACTGTGACTGCCATAATAGCACATTTTGAAAACCCGCAACTCCAAGGAGTGTAATTGACTGAGGGCCCCAGCTACTGAGCCCTGAAATCCATCACATGTGCTGGAGTTGGCACTAAGGCCCACTTCCCAGGGTTGGTCCCAGCCAATGATGAGCATGGCAAGGTTATGACAATCCTGGACCTGGAAGATGTGGGACTCCTCTGACAGGAGACCTTGCATCAAGGACTCCCCAAAGACCTGGTGAAATTTCTTTGAACTTCACTTACGTCTAAATGCTTCACTCAAACTTCTTTCTTTCTTCCCTTCCTCCTTCACTCATCAGACCTGCATCCCAGCCTCTCCTGGCTCCCACTCCAGTTTCTCTCATGGGTGTTTCACCTAATAAATTTCTTGCATGTTCGATACCATCCTGGCATCTGCTTCTTGGAGGACCCAGACTAACACATCATCTGATGGTGATGGTGATGGTAATGAATGATGATAAGGACTAACAATGATGATAAGGACTAACATTTAATGAGTTCTTTAAAAAATGTCAGGCCCTGGGCTTCCCTGGTGGCGCAGTGGTTGAGAGTCCGCCTGCCGATGCAGGGGACACGGGTTCGTGCCCCAGGTCCAGGAAGATCCCACGTGCCGCGGAGCGGCTGGGCCCGTGAGCCATGGCCGCTGAGCCTGCGCATCCGGAGCCTGTGCTCCGCAACAGGAGAGGCCACAACAGTGAGAGGCCCGTGTACCGCAAAAAAAAAAAAAAATGTCAGGCCCTGTGCTAAGAGATTGCCTAAATTATTTCATGTACTCTTCCCAATAACCTCCAAAAGGTAGATATTACTCACCTGAGGGAAGTAAGTCTTAAAAGGTTAAGTAACAAAAACAAGACTACATTGCTTGTGAAAGTCTAATTTGAATGCTTGTTTTTCCTAAGCCAGTGAAGTGTAGAGGCACTGGTGCCAGTAACTAGCACATTATATCACTTCTCTGTATTACTATTCTGCAGTACAATCTTCTAGTCCTTTTTCTGGATAGTTATTACACAGTTATAATTATACTCAAAATAATAAATGTAATAAGTTAAACTTTTTTTGTAAGAAATTGTATTTTTACTTGAACTTTCTAATTCCTCTAAAATTTTCAGTTAGTCTGCTTCACTTTGGTTACATAGACCTGATCCAATCATTCAAATACTGCTAGTTAACATATTCAAATATTTTCCATATTTGTATCACATATATGTAGAGCCACTATATCAACTCTGTGTAGTGGGGAATTTTTCCCAAGCCATTAAAACAAAGGCCAAGCAAATGAGCCAAGGCCAAGTAACTTAGACAATCAGAACTATAAAAACATCCAAAATAACAATACCCAGTCTCCAATTTTACAATTTACTAACAGTATTAAATAGACCACTTTAAATAACAAACTAATAGGCTTTTTCTAAACAAAACAATTGGTACAATAAAATGCACTTACAAGGATTTATATCCCATAAGTGTCTTTCTAAGAAAAGACAGCAGCTTGGAACTTGTAGCAGCTTGCTAATTCCAGAACAGAAATTTCCGATAGCAGCAAGTGTCATTTAGAATAATTTGAGCTTCCTTTGACTCATAAACAAATTGACTTTCCTCAAGGTCCCCTAGGAAACACTGGGTCAGTCTTCAGTCTTGGCAGATTTCAACTGATACTGCAAAACAACTCCCTGAATACAGAGTATTCTAGAGCTTTCATGTGAAAGAATGATTGTAGCTGCTACAAATAGTTTCTACTATATGCCAGTTGGCAGTATAAAGGGGTGTTCCATCAGCAACCTTCCAAAAGAGTCTTCTTAAATAAACATGCATTCTAATAAGAAAAGCATACTTGCCTTGCAAATAGAACTTTAAGGCAAGTTATCAAGATTTCGCCTCCCAACTAGGTTGTCCTCCCAAAGACCATCCTTCATGAAAGGAAAGCTACTACTGCCCTTCACTTCTCATCCCATCATTAAAGTTTCACTTCTACTGGAATTTGGATGGGGTCTGGGCTATAAGTGTGATGCAATGTCTATGATGGGCAGAGCTAAAGAAACTGAATCCCTGAATGCTTGCTTTTTTAAAAAAATATATTTACTTATTTATTTATTTGTGGCTGCATTGGGTCTTTGTTGCTGTGCATGGGCTTTCTCTAGTTGCTGCTTCTCTTGTTGTGGAGCACGGGCTCTAGGCACGCAGGCTTCAGTAGTTGTGGCACGCGGGCTCAGTGGTTGTGGCTCGTGGGCTCTAGAGCGTAGGCTCAGTAGTTGTGGCACACGGGCTTAGTTGCTCCAAGGCATGTGGGATCTTCCCGGACCAGGGCTTGAACCCGTGTCCCCTGCATTGACAGGCGGATTCTTAACCACTGTGCCTCCAGGGAAGTCCCCTGAATGTTTTCTTAGCCTCTCAAAATCTACCACCTCTGCAACTCCTTCCCATAATATTATAACTCAGAATGTTAACCCCCCATTCCTTGAAACAATGTACTGTCTTCACCACTGGACTGGTTCCCTTTTGTTGCTGTGTTTCTTGTGGGTTTTATCACATTGTGTTCCCCCTCAATCACTAATGAGTTTCATGACATTGATCATGTAATCCATCATCCAGCCTCTATAAAATAAAGGACACACATCTATGTTTTAAAAACCATGTTCCCTGGAGAGGAGTCAGGAGTTGACAAGAGGGGAAGAAGCAGTAAAGAAGGGAACACTGGGTGGATAGGCACATGTTCTCCCACTCTTCTCTTCAACCAGAGATGCTCCATCTGTATCTGCTTTATTAAAGTCCTGAGTTAGAGTTTCCTTGAAAACC